CACGCGTGCCGCCCTCACACAACACGGCTCTCTCACACACACACCACCCTCACACACACGCCCCGCCCTCACCCGCCGCCCTCACACACACACCGCCCTCTCACACGCGCTGCCCTCACACACGTCGCCCTCTCACCCACGCCCTCTCACAGCCCCCACTTCCCGAATGGAGACTTACCTCCTTTTTGTCATGTGCAGGAACATGATTAAAATATTCACAGGCCTGCCAGAATAAAATGTTTTCTTCACTGAATTCTTTCCTTAGAAAATCCTAAGAAAGATACCATTTATTAACATTGACACACGGTCCTCCTTTTTCTTACTTCCCTTCTACAGAAACCATGGGGTCATAGGCTGCTCAGTGAGCTGCCCGAGGGCCTGGAGAGAGAAAGCTCATTGCTGCCCAGCACTTTAGGGAACCGCGCTGCCGCTTCCAGCTCTTTCCCCAGAAGCAGAACATTTCTTTGAAGAGCTGAAAGCAGGCACCTGGCTTCTCAACGCACATAGGAAGCTCCAGTGCAGCAGGCTGCAGAGACCCCGGTGGAGCGCGGGAGGGCCAGGGACTCTCCCTGGGGACAGAACCAGGGGCAGGATCCAACCCACCCTCCTCTGAGCTCTTGAGAGGGTGGCGGTCCAGGGAGGGGAGGCCCTTGCCACGGGCCTGCTCAGAGCCCGCAGGGTGCCGCTGTCTCTAGGGTAGCCCGCGGATCCTGCTCGGTAGTCTCTGCAGAGCACAGACTGCTCCGCTGGCCCTGGCTCTTCCCTACTCACAGAGAAGTAGCGGACACCGACGGGGTCCTGCAGCAGGCGCTCGAAGGACACGGCCCAGCTGGCGACCCTCCTCTCACGCAGGCGCCGGCAGCTCTGCACGCTGGGGAGGCTGGCATTGCTGCTCAGGCTGTTGTTGCTGACGCAGTCCTTCAGGTCGGCGCCCGTCAACTCTGCGGGACCAGTACAGACAGCACCTGCACCCCTGCCCTCCGCCCCGGCCCAGCGAGCGCTCTGCCTTCCCATGGGAGACCCTGGGACATGCAGCAAGCTCTGTCCCAACACCCATTCAGTCAACAACCATGCACGGCACAACTACCACCTGCCAGTGCATTCTACACACAGGGATGGAGCAGGGAACAAAACACAGACTCCAACCTTGAGCGGCTGCACATGTGTGTGCACAAGCACACAATTCACATGTGCATACCCACACAACACCCTTGCACGACACTCATACGCTCACACGTGCACACTCACCCAAACAAACTACAGCCACAGGGTTGAACAAGAAAAGCAACTAACCTTACACAGAAACATGCACACGCAGAGCACTAAGACCATCATGGCAACGAGGCGTTTCCCAGACTTGCTAGAGCAAAAGCAACTGGGCGCAGGGCACCGTGTATGCCACGTGTGTTATGTCCTGACCCACGGTGCCCTTGGGGACGAGTGTGCAGTCTAGGGGGGCACGAGGCTCACCTTCCGCACACGGAGCCCACACACCCGTGACTGCGCACCGCTCCACATGTGGCTCCTTCTCAACACGAAACGCTCAGGCACAGTGTCCAGAGCTAAGCCCTCAGACACGCGTGTCGGCTCAGCGGCTCATTACAGGCAACCTGACGTAGGATATGGCACAGCACGCATCCCAGGACACCAGATCCTGCCTGACTTGTCTGCAAAATGGCCCTCAGTGGTCTTTGGTTCCCAGTATCTCCTGAGCTCTTGAATAAAGAGAAGGGAGGTCCCCAGGAAATCCCTGTTCATCACCCTCGTCCACCAGACACGAGCAGTGTGGGGGCACCCCATCCCTCCTGACGCGAGCAGTGTGGGGGCACCCCGTCCCTCCTGACGCGAGCAGTGTGGGGGCACCCCTGTCCCTGAGTGGGCAACCTGGCCTGAGCCCAAGAAGAAGGGATGTGGCCAGTGTGAGCCCAGCTTCAGGAGCCGCTGCCCACTCTGCTGGAGCACAAGTGCTTCCTCTGTGAGCACAGGGTATCCCACACAGGGCTGTCCTTAGCCTGCAGCTGAGCCACGCCCTGCTGACCACAGATGACGTGTGACAAGGTGGCCACTACACCTGCGTTGTTAGGAGGCCCTGGGTTTCGGGCTTGGTTTTCTGCCGCAGCGTTAAGGAACGCAGCAGACGGACAGAGCAGCCTCACAGAACGTTGTCAGCAGCATAATAAAATACGCCATGCTCCCCTCCTGCTCCTTCACCAGCCTCCTGTGGCACAGTGAGCAGGACAAACTGCCCAGGCTGGCATTGCCGTAAAGTCAAGGCCACAGGACTGATCCCACTGGATGAGTTGATGGGCTCCAGCTCCAGGCCAGCAATTAGAACACATCTTATCAGCAGCAAGGGACCAGAGGTAGAAAGAGACCAGGAAGGGGGCAGTCACGCAGCATCAACTCCTCTCAGGGGCAGAAGTGACACTAAACCTTATGGATTCAGCCCAGTGTGCAGATGTGCTCTAGGCGACAGGCAGAGGCCTGGCCAGAGGCTTCCAAGGAGGCCACAGTGTGGGCCCCGCTAAACCAGAGAAAAGTGGAGCCCTAGGGCCCAGGAGACAAAACCAGGGATTTGATCCAACAGTGTCCCTCATGGTCAGCATGGCAGCCAGAGGCTACACTCGGCAGGAGTCATTCAAAGTGCAAGGAGCATTTAGATTAAAAAAGAAAATGTTAAAGAATAATCAAATAATTTAAACTGCTATAGAAAAAAATTAAAAGAAGACTGAAAGGAAGTTCTCTGATAGGATCGGAAACACACAGTGTTAACGTTTCCTTGAATCCACCATGCTGTTGATCTGCTATTTGTGAGATCACATGTGTGATCGCAGTGGCAGCCAGCATGCACTGAAGACCCACAGGCCTGCAGCTGGGGCTCACCCGGAAGCCCTGACTCTGAGCTGCGGGGGAACTGGGGCTCACCTGGAAGCCCTGACTCCAAGCTGTGGTGGAAGGGGCGGCACGCACGGCGAGAGGATGCGTACTGGCACTCACATTCAGGACAGGGCGGCCAAGCCAGGAGCCCTGGGGCCAAGGACATAAGGACAGGGGCCATGTGAGGCTCCCTCTGCACCCAGCACCTCTGCCACCATGTCGACAGAACTGTCTGGAAATGCCTTGCTTAAAGAATCCCAACATCCAAGACTTCCCCATGTGGCAAGTGCCCCGTTCTGCATGTAAGCCAGGTGTGAAACTCTCAGGCATACACTCACTTGCACACTCACTCTCTCTGGGGCAGGGGTCCTGGGAGGGGGCCAACTCTTTGTGCTTGCCTAGTATCCTGTCACCAGGGAACTGAGGAGCAAAACATCACAGGCAGGAATTCTCCCTAAACGGACATACCACGCCGACACTTGCCTATGGGTGTCTTGTTAGAACCACACAAGTGGAGTGTGAAAGCTCCTGCGGAAAGTTATGCAGGAAACGAGGGGAACAAACGAGATGAGCAAGACGCCAGGCCAGGCCAACCTAACACGAGAGCACAGACAGACCACAATCCTGAACACGTAGGGCCAGGCGGGCCTAACACGAGAGCACACACAGACCACAATCCTGAACACGCAGGGCCAGGCCAACCTAACACGAGAGCACACACAGACCACAATCTTGAACACGTAGGGCCAGGCGGGCCTAACACGAGAACACACACAGACCACAATCCCGAATTCACAAGGGACAGCATCGGTATCACCCTCGGGAAACAACAGAGTACAGAAACAGACCCTGAGTGTCTAAGTCACAATCAGGGTAGTGGGTGGGGTGCGCAGGGAAGATGACCTCTGAAAAACTATCTAGTTGGATCTCTTCCTTCCAGCACACAGTGAAACAAATCCCAATGAATCAAAGATTTAAGTGCAAATCATAGAAATACCAGAAGAAAATGGGGGATAATTTTTTAAAACATTGAAGTGAGGAAAGCCTCCGGAAGGAAGACATGAAGCCCAGAGCCACGAAGGCAACACTGATACGGTGTACGGCACAGAGGCGCAAATCTCGATAGGGAAAAGCACCATAAGCCAAGTCCCCAGATAGGAAACTGTGGGGCACTGGCAATACGTCACACAGGTGGCGGGCGGGCTCCCCCTTCTACATTAGAGCACCTACACGCCAAGAAAACCATCAATAAGCCAAAAGGAAAACAGAAGGGTACAGGCGGCCACCAAATAGGAGGAGGCCCCTGGACACTCGTAGGTGCACCGGCCTGGTCACAGAACACCAGCCATGAGCCTAAGCCTCAGGCTGTTTGTAGCCATCCTCCTGACCAAGATCACAATGGCAGCGAAGTCTGAGCCAAGAGGCACCTTCTGCACTGCTGGGAGGAGCAAACGCAGATCAACCCCTCTGATGATACTGATCAAAACATAAAGTATAAATGCCCAGAGCCAGCTACTGCTGCTGGAGTGCACTTCGTTCATCAGCCACAGTGAAGTTGTAGGACCTCCTGCCCGGTGCTGGGAGATGGAAGACCAGAGCTGGCTGGTCGGCCCGGTGGCACGCCCTGCGTCAGAAACAGCCTTGGGTGCCGATTCTATTCTGTGTACATTCCAGCGCATGGGCACATACTACCTACTTAAAAAATAAGATCATGCAGGCTGGACGATCACTTGAGGCCAAGAGTTTGAGACCAGCCTGGGCAACATAGCAAGACCCTATCTCCACAGAAAATGAAAATAAATTAAAAATTAGCTGGGCAGGATAGCACGCACCTCTGGTCCCAGCTATTCCAGAGGATGGCTTGAGCCCAGAATTTGAGGCAGCAGTGTTGCTAACCTTGCCATATTTTATGCTGACAAATGAGGCAATCCTCATGAATGAAGTTTCTGCATTATGAGCACCAAGACATTTTTCCTCCAGCTTTTTTTTCCTGAGACAGTAAAGGCTGGCTGAGAACTGAGGCAGAAACAGAAGTTAACTGGCCTCCGGGGAGTAAGGGAGAGCTTCCATGACAGGACAAGACATGCTGAGCCGGGCAGAGCAGAGAGCCAGCGTGGAGCAGCACGAAGTTAACCTTGGGGGACAGTGATGAGCAAGGGACTGCAGGGTCTCTCTGGCTGCCTGGAGGGTGGCCTGGAGGCTGCCTGGGCGAGGCCCAGCTGAGGGGCCCTGGGAAGAACCAGGACGGGAAGACGGGAGGCAGAAAGGAGGCTGCCCCACTGCACGCTGCAGCCAGCACAGCTCAAGCCCCAATGGGTGCTGACGCTTTTGCTCCTCGAACAAAAGGTGTTTCGATTCCAACACACAAGCACAGTGACGTGAACCATCTGCCTCCTGTGCCGCTGGTGGAGGGGAGATGGGCCTCTCCCTGGTACCACGTGGAAGTCCCACGCCAGCCCCTGGGCCCACCTCCCGTTCCCTGGCCGCTCCCTAGGCCCTGCTGCCTCCCTCAGCAACGGGGCCAGCTACCCAAAGGGCTGCTCTCCCTGTTCCCGTGCTGGTGTATTTGTGGAATGAATGAATGAATGGTGATTGATATAAATTCTGCATGAAAGATGACTGGTGTATTGACTAACATCATGTTCAAAAGCTTTAGCAGACACTAATTATTTTCTAAGACTCACAAATCAATAATTGACTCTTTAAAAGTCTAATCAAGAAAGAAACACGAATGTATTTTAAACAGCAAATGATGACCTGTCTGGTGTGCTCGGCTCCACTGTGCCAGGTGTGCCCACCCAGTGAATCTGCATTCCCTCCCTGGTGTGCTCCTGCTCCTGCCCTTTGGGTCCTGCAGAGGCAGATGCTGTGTACAGGAACCCACATGGCAGACCCTCCAGAGAGAGCACAGCCTCGGGTACAGAGGAGTACGGCAGAAAGCAGACGCAGGCATGGCTTGGGGGCGGTGTGGGTGCCAGACTCTCTCCTGGGCCTGCTCAAGTGAGAGTTGCTTTCGTGCAAATTAACCATTTCCAAGGAAGGGAGAAAGGCTGCAGTCCTTGCTCTCCTCTGGCATTGCAAAGACAGGGGGTATGACCTTGCCAATTGCTCCCTGCACTGCTGGGGGTGAGAGCCACACCCCCTTCACACAATCTCATTTTGTAGCTTTGTGCTGACACAGGAATTGTGCTCCAGCAATTCCTCCCTGTGTGAGGGGGGCCTCAGCTCAAGCATGGGAGCCTGGAGAGTGGAGGAAGCAGACACATTACCTGGAGGAGCCAGAAAGAGAAGCTTCTGGGCCATAGCCCTGGTTGCCCACACCACCCCTGTCTAAGGATCAGGGCAGAAAATTCATGACCCAGCTCTTCAGCTTCTCAAGGGCACGGACAGGACCTGCTGGGCACATGGACCTTCCTAAGTCCGGCACTGAGTCCAGCCATTCGCAAAGGACACTGGTATCTCCAGCAACACACACGTTTTTCAACAACTGGCTACCAGAAAACGTCCACCCAGAATTCTTGTAATCATAAGCTCTCCTGGTGAGTTTTTATGATTCCATTTGGACAAAATTCGTGCAGGTGACTTGCGGAGGAACACAGCAGAGCCAGGTGCGACTGCAGAGCCCCGTGAGCACCATTTTTCTTTGCGACGCGGCTCCACACACACGGAAAGTCGCCTCCTCTCTGACATCCACTTTCAATTATGGATCTCACGACTCACTTCCATGTGCTCTGGAGCTGTTCTTGTCACGTGGAAAATAGTGCACAGTCACAGGCCTGACCGTGAACCCTGAGCAGCACTCGCCTAAAATGAAATTCCTTGCAAAAGCCACCATTCTGACCTGAGCTCCAAGGCCAGAAGGCGAGGACACCACCACGTCCGTAACTCACGGGCCGGCTTGCAGTGGCCTGCCTGATTCTCCGGTGCTAAGCACGTGAGTCAAACCCACAGCTGTGATCTAAGTCAAAGAAGAAAAGACATCCACAAAACACACCCCGCATCCCAACACCACTTTAGGGAACATGGTCCAGTTCATGGTATTGTTGTGGGGTTTTTTTCTTTCCGTTGACCCATCTGAGTCAAAGAAATGCTTTCCTGGAGAAAGAGAGTTTGAAGTCTGTTCAGATTTGCTGCTGACTGGAAAAGCCGCCACATTTACACTAGTGGGTCAAACATGTAGGTTACGTTACACATTTTAATACCGTAAGATTAAAAGTTAGCAGTTAGTTCTGTAACACACGGCCTGGGCCCATGATCATCTCATCCAAACCATAACCTCAAACACTCCGACTGTTTAAGTCACAACTCCAAGTCAGATCAGGGAACGCGTCACTGCACAGGCACCCCATGGGCCCCTCACCCCCGACACAATCCCGCTGCGGCAAACATACCTGAAGACCACACAAGTCAGTGTGCCCCTGACAACGCGACAAGGTACGCAGACGGGGACAAGGGACTTTACCTGGGTAGAGCTGATAAGAGCCACTGTGATGCCACTTAACCAAATACTTCCAACCATGCACTGCAAACCACCCCTCTGAGTCCATACCAGGGTCAGCCGGCAGAGCCCGGGCAGCCCCGAGCAAAGGCCTGGGCCCCACAAAGGGACATTGTTCCTGAGCTCACACTCCCAGGAGGGCAAATTATTGCAGTTTCTCCCGCGATCCCAGCACACGGCTGACAAAGACGGCTCTGCCCTGCCTGCGCTCAGGCTCATGGATGGGAAGCCAACAGGAGACGCTGCACGAAGCCTTGCCGAAGACTCATGCATAATTCACAGCAGCCCCTCAGCTGCCGCCGCCACAGAGCCTGAATTATTGAAGGCGGGCAGAGCACAGCTAGGTAACTGCGCACGCGGCGTAAACACTGCAGACGGAACCCCGGCCTCCCAACACGCTACTCCACTTCAGCAATTCCTCTCTTATTAAACCAGCAATGGCAAAGAAAAAAAAAGTACTTGTAGGCTTTTTGTATAGTTTTTAAGTCTTATTTCCATATGTACTTAAATTAAACATTTTTTAGTCCCATAAATATAAAACCTATCTTTTTAATAAGCAGGTGATCACTCAAACACTCAAACTTAGTGTTACCAGGAATATGTATTTAGTTAGGAAATAATCAACTATACCAAACTGGACCACCTGTGAACCATAAGGAACATTTTTACATCCAAGCAAAATATGCCAACTCGCAGATATTTCTGAAAAACCTGTGGGCATCCTGGAGGCAGCCTGCCCACCGCATGGGGTGGTCCCTTTCCGGGGTGGGGTGCCACGCCCACCTCTGTTCCTCCTGCCCACAGGCCGAGCAGGGCCTGATCTCTGAGGGGATCTCCTGGGTCATCAAGGGTTAGGAAATGTCCACTAACACCACAGGTGAGGCCCAGCAATGTTCCCTGGGGAGAGCGGGTGACACACAGTCTCTGTTTTTCTAGGACACTGCAGTCTCTGCAGTTAGGACAGAAGCGGCCTCCGATAGCAACTGCAGGAATGGGCATGGCCATCCCACTGACACTTCATTACACAAAGCTGGTGGTGGGCAGGGTTTGGCTGGAGGCGCCATTTGCTGACCCCATCTACTGACTCCTGGATGGACACTGCCGCATAAGCAGCTCTAACTTGATGGCAGCTCCACTAAAAAGGCATCAAATCAAGCTCAACATTTTCTGAGAAAAACGTTCCGAAAGGCTGTAGAAGGTGGAGCTTGGCCTCATCTGGCCCACCCTTCCATCACGTGCTTCTTGGCCTCCAGTTTCTGAGGCACAGGAAGCCCTTCTCCACCGCTCACAGGGCGGCCCAGGCAGGAGGCGTGGGTGCAGGCTCTGAGCCCGCCCGGCCTGAGTTCTGAGCTCCTTTCTGGCTGGTCACCTCAGCGGGGCCCCACAGTCCTGCGGGCCTCAGTCCGCGTGTCCATCTGCGGCTGGCAGGGGCTTGCAGGGCTGTTGTGAGGACCAGGGGAATGAAGATGGGCGAGTGGCCAAAGCTCAGATGTAGGCGCTGTTAGTGCAGCTAAATGTGCTTACAGGGGAGCCGGGATATATAAGCACCGAGATGCCACAGGAACCCTTTGTTCACACTCAAACCACCCCTTTCCTAGGCAATGTGTGCCATCCTTTTTGGGGGGCAACTTTTTATTCTGAAATAATTTCAAACTTGCAGAAAAATTATAAGGATAGTAAAAGAGACTCCCATATCCATTTGCCCCGATTCACCAAACGTCTGCATTCTTCCAGCTTGCTGTACCATCCTGTCTCTCTCCTTTCCGCCCATTCTCCCTTCCTCTAAACATGTTCACACCCGCACACACACAACCTTTCTCCAGACTATCTGAGATTAAGTTGGAGACAGCGTGCCTCTTTGCCCCCAAACACGTCACTGTAGATTTCCTAAGAACGTGGACATTCTCTTTCATAACCAAGTACCAACATCGAAATCAGGAAATTTAACAAGCCATCTTCCAGTTTCATTGATCCTAATCTTTTCAGCTCTTTTCCCCAGAGCAGGGCGGAACTACTCAGGGTGACTGCTGCCGTGTGTCTGCAGTCTCCTTCCATCTGGAATATTCCCCGGCCTCTCTGTGGTTCCCACCCTGACGGAGGTCGGTTATTTTTAAGACTGTCCCTCGGTTTGGGCTCTGCTGTTTCTTTGTGACTGGCTGGAATGCCCCGGAAGCCATGTGGTGTCCCTCTGGGATCTCCTCTGAGGAGGCATGTGGTGTCAGTTTACTGCAGGGTGGGTGATGTTGGCTCTCACCATGTGGCTGGGGCACCACGTTTGTCCACTGTCGTTTCTAGGGTTCCCTGGTGATAATAAGCTTCGTGTGGAACTACTCTGAGGCTCTGTAAGAGTCTTGCTTTGCATCAAGCCTGAGTCCACAACTTCAGCACCCTCTGGTGATTTCCTGATACACTGTTCAGCCGTATTCTGCTCTAAGAGACCCCCTCCTGTTACTACAAAGTCATTTATCTGTGTTAGTGTGGACTAGCTGGGTTTTTATTTTAGTCCATGGCTCATACCCCATGAATACCTTTCTTTTTTGGAAGCTCACTCCCTCCTTCAGGCTGGCACCTATATCCCGCTCATGTGTCCTCATCATGCCTTAAGCACTGCCTTATTTTCTGGTGTAAAAAGAAAATAAAAGCGAAGCTCCAGCTTCATCCTGTGTTTTCCCCACTGCAGCCCAGGAATTAGTCTTTGCTCCACAGAGCCTGACTCCCTCTAAAGAAAAGAGGTATTAGACACCAAAATCTGGATATGCGAGTGCTCACTGCTGCTAGGGTTTCCCTGCCTCCAGCCCCACCCCAGTGGACAGAGCTGGGAAATGTGGATGCATATGCACACACCACTATGTCTATTTTTCCATCCACACATCTCTCTATGGAAAGCCATCGGTTCATACTGATGCCTCCGACAGCAACCCAACACCCTGAGCACATCCGCACCTCCTATTCCATCTCTGTAACTCCCTGCTGGCATTGGGGAACTGGCTCCCATGAGCTCTGATATGTTTGTCCCTGTGCTCAAGCCTGGCACACACAAAAAGTAGTTTAAGAATGGCTGGCCGGGTGCGGAGGCTCAAGCCTGTAATCCCAGGACTTTGGGAGGTGGAGACGGGCGGATCACGAGGTCAGGAGATTGAGACCACCCTGGCTAACACGGTGAAACTCCGTCTCTACTAAAAAATACAAAAAAAAACTAGCCGGGCAAGGTGGCAGGCGCCTGTAGTCCCAGCTACTCCAGAGGCTGAGGCAGGAGAATGGCCTAAACCCAAGAGGCGGAGCTTACAGTGAGCTGAGATCCGGCCACCACACTCCAGCCTGGGCGACAGACCGAGACTCCATCTCAAAAAAAAAAAAAGAATGGCTGACCCACACCCCTGCACAGACAGACCTACTTACTCGCCCAGCTTAAAATCCTACCATTTACTGTTTAAAGCCTGCACTTGATCACCAAAGTGAATTTGTTTCCCCTTCAAAACAGCCAGGCCTTGTGAAGACCTACATGTGGTCACTACAGTGGCAAAATTCAGTTTCAGGGAAAATCCCCACATGGAGACGTATGCCCCAGGACAATTCTTCTGTCTCTGGCTGCCGTGACGTGATTGATCACATGGCTTGAGTATGTCTGTGCCTTGGTTTTCTCATGGAAGAGAACTAATCTTTGCAAGGCTTGGGGCAAGGATAGATGAAGGAGCTTACACCACATATCTAAATGCTGGGAAATTATAACAAAGGCTAACACATTGTTAAATAAGCTATATTCCATCTTGCTTCCCTCCAACAACCTGGAAGGCCAGGTTTAATTTAGAATTCTGGAACCTGCCTAAGTTCTGCACAGAAGTGTGGTAGAGCAGGGAGGGCTGCCACAGCCCACAGCCCCCTCCTCACTCCCTTAGCTTCACACCTCAGCCTCATACTCTTCAGTTTTGTATCCAAGTTTTGTCACATCAATAACCCTCTTTGGGCCTCAGAGTATCTATTTCATTCCCCAGTTATGAACTGGGAGATGCTTTTCAAACTTAAAGCAATGAGGCCTTTCCTCCCAGAGAAATCTTATGGGACTCCCTGTGAGAGGCTGGCTTGCGGAGGAAGGAGGACATTTGGGGCGAGAACACGTAGGGTAGGCTCAGGCCCCTTCTCTGCTTCAAGCAGCACAGGCTGTGGAGGCCGACCCGGCTCTGCATCTCAGCAAAAGCCTGCCACAACTGCAGAGCCTGCTGAGGGTTAGAAAACAGGAATTTGGAAAAGCACCTCCTCAGAAAAGAGTTTACATGCTATCGATCTCAGTCAATCAGCCCATTTTACAGATGAAGCTGCTGAGGTCCAAAACATTCTATGACCTGCCTGGGCTGACATCAGTGACTGTGCTGGGCCCAGACTCCGCATTCTCCATGGTGAGGTCAAAGGGTCCCCATCAGCACTTCCTGGGCTCACAGGGAGTCTGACCCCCACAGCCGGACCTCAGAGGTCTGCAGCCAGCCCTGCAGAGGAGCTACCATGCCTGGCAGGTCTCATGGACCCCTCAAGGTATGGTGTACTTTGGTGTACTTTCCATTACCTCAAAGGGCCAGAAGAAACGTGTGCCCAAACAGTAGAAATCTGAATTCTGGGTCTTTCCTGGAGTCAGTACTAGAAACTTGTGATTTATAACTATTCTGGCAGAGCCCAGCAAAACAAAATCTCTACGTCTGAAGTGACACCAAGTCCTTCTGGAGAGTGAAATGCCAACAGGCGGGGGTGAGATGCTGCCGGAGCCCATGAGGCCATGCGAGTGAGCAGAGCGGCTCCTGTGAAGGTCAGTGTGGGAAGTGTTAGGCGATGTGCAAAGACAAGTGAATTTTGTCACTTGTCACTCTGAATTTTTAGGATTCTAGGCTTAGAGCTACCAACTATGACCATAAGTAGTTGGTGGACTAGAGGTCACATCTGACCACAGGGAGCCCTCAGGACGCTCCGAGAAAAGACACAGAACATTTTTCAAAAATCAGTCCTAACTGACTTCATTTATTATGCTTACTTGAGCTGAAAAAACTTCACATTACTCATTTAGTGGTTAATTCTTTTGTGAAACTGATTTACTTCATTTTGATGAATAAAATATTTATACGTTGTAAAGACTTTCTTCTTCCATTCTTGTGCCAGTGACCACACAGGAAGTTCAGACCTCCTGGCTGTGGCTTGGCCCCACCAGAGGACGCCACCCAATGCAGAGGACGCCACCCAATGCAGAAGCCCAAGGGCCCCAAATGCTGACCTCATGAGGA